CAGGTTTGTCACATGCCCCAGGGTCCTTTGGAGTGAGTGGCTGTACCCCAGAGCAGGGACCAAATCACGATTCCCTTCTGTGAGCACGAGTCAATGCCGGTACCTGCCTCACCCCACCACTGACGTCACGGGTGTCCTCACGCTGGGATTCCCATCCGGCTGGAGACCTGGCCTGGGGGTGCAGCAGGTGTGGGTGCAGGATGAATGTGGGAGCCGCTGTTTGTTGCCCAGAGTCAGCAGAAAGTACCTGTGAGTCCCTGCCGGCTGTGCCGTGCTCAGCGAGGGGAGAGGAATGAGCAGACAGGGTGTGATCGTGTTGCCACACCGAGCAATGAGACATGAGAAAATGCAACAGCTGCTGCTACCTGGAAGACAGATGCTGAAAAAATAACGTGGGAAACTCCAAAGTGGGAAACTCCAAAGTTTACTGTGGAGATACAGCTCAAGCAGCTCCTGGTGGCTTTGGGACTTTGGCTCTGCTCAGACACAAAAACATTCTTCTGTCTAGAGTAAAACAGACCCTGAGCTGTGTTCGTCTGTCCTCCATCCACCAGCCAGAGTGACTCTGGTCACACCTCTGACTGCAGCTCAGGGGGATTCACAGGGAGAGCCTTGCTCACATGCAGTGTCAGAGCAGCTGGTCCCTTGGCTCTGGACCAGGGAATGGTCCATGGATCTGCAATATTGTCACCAGCCTCAGCCTGGGCTGGAGTGAACAAGCTGGATGTCACGGGAGAGCCCTTTCAGGGTCCCAGGGAGCTGAGCTGCTCAGTGCTGAGCTTGCTGGAATGGGTCTCTCATCCCCAGGCAGGGGCAGGAGGGCTGAGCCAGCCCTTGGAGACAGGACTGGTCTGATCACAAGCTGTTCAATACCTTCAGAACAGAAAGGCCACACTCAGCCAGCCTGGGGGGGGGGAGGGGGGCTGGCAGCACATGGGGCTGTCATAGTGCCTGGGTGGCCTCGAGGATGAACAACTTCATCGGGAACTGGCAGGAAGAGCTTCAACCATCATGCAAAGACCATCTAGTGCCAGACAGGTCCATGATCCCTGAAGTGTAGCAGAGAGAACCTCCCTGCCCTACTCTGCCTGGCCCTTCGGATGAGCAGGAGCTGCAGACTGGCTGTGTCAGCAGTGCTGATTCCCTGGGAATCAATCCCACGAGGGGATCTCCTCGGCACCAAAACGGGCAGAGCGGGTCTGTGCTCCAGCACAGCCCTCACTGGTGGTGACAGCTCATGAAGCATCGATGTCACAGGGTTGGGAGCTTGCCTGGCCCCGGGTCTGGCTTCACCGCTCCAGTCTGGAGCCCAGAGAAGGACAACACGAGTCACTCCCCTTTGTCCTCCCCTGTGCACTGCTGTCTCCATCGCTGCCTCCTCCCCTCCGCAGTGGCCGGGCCGTGCTGCCCCTGTCTCAGCGTGGGCAGGAGGGGATCAAACAGGGTGAGCATCACACCCACCCCACAGCTCGGCTCCCTGGCTGATGGCGACGAGCCCCGCGCCTGCCCAGAGGGAGTTTCCATTGCAAACACACACCACCGTCTCCTTTCTTGGTAACTGATCTGGGATTGCTTTTTCCAGATAATATGGGGGAGGCCGTCAGGACATGTCCTGGCAGATGATAGAAAATTGAGACAGAAACAAAGACATCGTTTGTCACTCCACACCTTGATATATTTGTTACCCATTTTGTGTTGTGCAGACTAACAGAGCAAACCCGTCAGCCTGGGCCCGCCATCCCTCACACACAGGAGACACCTTTCCCAGGGCTGCATCATTCAGCGGGTTCCCACTGAGCTGGGAATTGCTGTGGAAGGCACTGGGGAGAAGCTGGTCCACAGGGGAAACCTAATGACTCCTAATTAGCTCTTATTCATGACACTAAAAGCGCAATTAAGTGCTATTGTTTGAGGCAAATGCAACACACTGACCGTTGCTGTTTCGCACCACTCTGGGCACCCCAGCAGGTAATATCACCTCCCCTCCTATGCGAGGAGCGCAGCTCGTCCCTCCCCCCTGCAGCACACAGGCAGAGATAGCATCTCCGGCGTGCTTCTTGCAGGAGCAGACTCCGATACCATCTCCCGAGCATTACGACGTTCCCTTTTTCTTTTATCTCAAGGGAATTTGTTGTGGGTGAGTGTTTCAGGAGAGCCTGGGAGACTGAATTCTTCTGCTAACATGAAATAGCCGAAGCAGCGGCTGCTCCTCCGCATCCTGATGCCCCGTCACAGCCGGCTCAGGGGAGCTCTGTGCTGAGGGTTCCTATATCAGAGTGGGGCTGGTTTGGGATTGTTGTTCAGGAGCTCAGTCAGGGGCCTTGGCAGCAGCTGACCAGCAACAGCTTTGACCAGAAAAGTCCAGGAAAAGCTGACATTGCAGGACAAGCTCCACATTTCCTCTTTGACTCCTCTGCCACGTGGTAAAAGAGCTGAAACATGGGTTGAGGTGGTGATAATACAGAAGCAAAAGCCCTAAATCCAGGTGTTCCCTACCTGTGGGGCTGTGGCAGGGCTTTACCTCATGTTAGGGCAGTTGTCACCTTCGGGCTGACTCGTAACTTGGCCTAAAATGTGAGGGTGACCTGAGGGGGTTCAGACCTCACAGCACACAGGTTTTGGCCCACATGGGAGGCTCAGGGCCAACATGGGAACTGCCTGGAGCAGGAGGGTGTTTGCTGGAGCGAACATGAGCAAAGCGAGCACATCTGCTCCGAGCAGGGGTGGCCGGGGTGGCTCTGGAGCACAGCTCCCACACGATGGCTGTTGGGCAATCCTGTACCCCCCACTGTGGAGGGAAGCAGGCCAGGAACACCCGATCTTTGCCCTGCCAGGTTGCCCCAGGATGGTGCTGGAAGCTGAGTATTGTCCTCTGCTCGCTCTGCCTTTGCCAGTGGTGGGTTGGGCCCAGGTCCCCTCCTTCCCCAGCTCCCTGAGGGAGAGGGCATGTGTGCACCCCAAATCCCCTGACTTGGCAGCCTTGGGAGTCAGAAATCCAAACCTGAAGCCCATGGGTGTGAGGCAGTGCTGCCCAAAGAGCAGAGCCCTTGACTGAGAGGATCCAGAGTCCTTCTCTCTGGTTAAGTTGCTTCCTCGGTGGCCGCCCACAAAATCACCCCACGCTCCTGGAGCTGCTGAAGGCAGCGTGACTGCTGTGAAGTCCTGGGATCTAACAGAAGGCAGATAAAGCCTTGTTGTTATTGTGTCCTTCAGGGAACAGATGAAAGAAAGGAGGCACCATGAATTACCGAGGGTGAGGCTCTGGGAACATCTGAGCACCTCCAAAATCAGTTAAGTGCATTAATGTGAAAACAGCCGGAGGGGCCCGGGAAGGAAGGAGATCACAACAGGAGGGAAAACACAAAAGGGTTCCTAATCCCTATAACTCCCTCACTACCTCACAGGCACCTCTGCTAAAAGCAAAAATAACTTCTCTTATTGAGAATGCCACGGTGGAGCCAGGCGGGCCGGGCTGGGTGTGCGATTTTCCACTGCATGCGGCAAGAGCTGGCGTCACACCAGCGAAGGGTTTTATTCCCAACAAAGAATAAAACAGTGCAGGGTCTAATTTCCTGCTTCTTTGCTGTTTTTTTCAGGCCAATACCTGTCCAGCTGCATGACTGTAAAGGCTCTGCCCAGTCCCTCAGTAGCCCGGGGCAGGGGTGGCCGGCGGGGCCTCACCGCTGTCCCTCCCTCTGTGCCGCCCTGGGCAAGCCCTTGGGGGTCACAGAGTCCTCACCCCAGTGCTGGGTGTGGGGGCTTTTGCCCCTCAGCACTTCTGACACAGGTGATGCTGGTCCTGCTGAGTTACTGTTGGCTGTTACTGTTACTGACCTCAGCTGCAAATCCATAGGAAAAAACCTCTGGCACAAGCACTGATAAGGACTGATCGTACTCTTCCCACTGATAAGGATTTATGCTGCTCTTCCCACTGATAAGGATTGATCACACTCTTCCCATTGATAAGGACTGATCCTACTCTTCCATCAGAAACTGCAGGTAACATGCCCTGGCTGTGGGTGTCTGATGCAGTTGCAGTCCCACTCCTCTGATTCAGAATATTTAGGCATTAAAACCTGCCTCAGCCAAGAGAGAGAGGAAATTGTGGCACAGGATTTTTTAGCTTCTACACATTCTTTAGAAGCCACAGGCTGCTTCTGTGGAATTTGGGACAGGTGATGGAGCAAAGCAGGTACCCATTGCTGTAGGGACTTTCCAGTCTCTGTCAGGAGATTCAGCCCAGACTGGTACAAAAGCAGAAACTACTGGAGTTCCTTCTCTTTTGAGCTACAAGATTTCTGCCAAATCCCATATCAGTACACAAATCCTGCCAGGTCTGTGCTTGTCCTGGGTTAGAGGTCCTGACGGGAAAGTTTCCATCTGGCTCTGGGTTAGCCCATATAAAGATTATGGATGGGCAGAGCTCTTAAGTCAGCAGCTTTCCTTGGCTTTAGACTCTTTAAAAAAGCAAATAAACAGATTTGTAGATTTTTGCAATGATATCAGCCACTCGCGGGCGACCTGGCGGATCACAGAGGATTCACTTGTGTTACTTCATGAGGGAGCAGCGGGTGGAGCTGGGCTGGGAATGCTAAAATGTAGCCATGAGCAGGAGCCTGGACCACGCCAGGTGCTGGGAATGGAAGCGGAAGAAGATCCCGTGCGTGCCATGGTGCTGCTGGTGGGATGTGACAAAAGATGTGAAATCAGGGAGAGGAAAATGATGATTCTGGAATTTGGCTCAGGCTGTCGGGGGTGACGAAAAGCACCGGGAACGCCTCCTGGCCGGGCTATAAAGGGCCCCGAGGCAGGAGAAGGAG